GTTGCGCGTCTTGACCAGCCAGCTGACGAACACACGACTGCTGTTTTGAACAACTCGTTCGTCAACATAATTGACGAAACGGATTTTCGCGCACCAAGTAGCTGTCGCCCGTGAGTGCGAAAATAGCGAAACTGTTATGGGAGTCACAACTTCCATTGCTTTCGCAGTGTTGTAGGCGGGTTCGTCACCTCGACGGAAATTGGTCCTTAGACGAGTCTTGTCCATCCGCTTTTGTGACATGTTCCAAAATGTTTCTTTTGACCAGAAATTCTTCACCAACCTCGTTTGAGCCCCGTTCAAGCTAGTTTGAACGCATCGTTCGTCATTTCCATCTTGAACAGCTCTTGAACAACTGTGTACCGCGCCCTTAGGGTTTTGGAACCCTGAAGGCAGCAGATCGGGGAGAAATGGGGTGGAAGGTGGGTGTGAGCGGGGTAGAAGGGGATGCGTGAGGGGCGGGGAGGGGTTTGGAGGGGCGAAAATAGTTGCGGGGGTGCGAGGGGCGGTGGTGGTGGTGCGGTGCGCTGTGGCTGGACAGGCCAACCATCTCGGACACAACAATGACCACCTCGCTTCATCCGCGTTATGCGAAGGCTATTATGCGATATGTTTGGCACTTTGTCGTAGAATTATGGTTGCAGGGGAGGACTAGAATCCGCATCAATTCTGTGTACACCCTCATTCTCGATAGACTGGCATATGTTATACTGACCGCGACGCTTAGTGTGACCGCACCGGACCCAAGAAGGTCCTATCACATGCGTTATAGTGACAATTTGACCCAGGGCGTTTAGTCAAGGTTTTTTAAGTTCTGGAACGGTACTGTTGTTTTCAAAGCGGTTGGGATGGTTATTCAACGTTAATGGTTTTTTTACGGCCCAAGGCGTGTTTCAAACCCTCGTGCGACTTTGCCCGCAACCGAGTTATCTCACCAGCCCGCTACGTCCAAACACTGTAGCCAGTGCTTCCGCCGGTGAGATAGGTGAGAAAGAGGGTGTACACCTAACCACCGCTATTTTCAACTCCGAACCATTGCACTGTTCCCGCGTTTCGAAGATACCCTGCACGCATTCGACTATTTCAGTTGGGCACTTGGGGAACTTGGGCTACGAAGCACCCCGATTTTTAATGTTAAGAAACGCATGAAAGCAAATCTGAGAAGGGGCACTTTTTCTGTCGCGAATTCCCTTGTGCCACTTCTACTCTTTTTGGGGGTCTGGAACCAACTCACTGTGAAATCAGTGTGAAATTTCTGACGCCCACACAACCCTCGGTCAAATATTCAAGAAAGGGTGCATACCCACTTACGCAAGTGGGGTTGAAAATAGACGGAAAGAAAATAGCGATGGTTAGGTGTAAATGCTTCTGCTCATAAGCTTCTCCGTTACACTCGTTACCTTCCCTTCCTCGTGCACAGACATGTACTGTACATTTGCTCACAGCCTCTCCTCCAGGCAAACCAAAACTTCCGCAACCCCATCAATATCTACTGTATCATTAACGCGCTAGAGTTCCCCGCGGTTGTTGATCTGATCGGATTTCCTTTTCCGTGGATTTTCCAGCTCAAGAAAGGACATGAACACGTCACCTCACAGTATTCTGGATAATATTTGTAGTTTTTAGCTGTGCAGTGACGTGGCAAACATTACAAATCAATCGATTGCTGCACTGTTTCCGATGTTGTCCACGCAGCTTCGTTGTTCGTTTCCTCCACCCGCTTCGTGATTGCTGCATGTTTTCTCGATCTTTGATTCGATGGTCCAATCAGCCAGCAGCCTTTCCTCCAAAAACTGTTTATCCTAGCTGCTCTGGACAGAATCTACAGTCGCCCGAAACGTGTTGTCGACGGATTCCACACAGGCCTGTCGAAGTTCCTGGGGCCCATACTTGCGCTCCCCTCCCCAGCTCCTCATACTGTCACGGGCGCACCCCAAAGTGAAAACTTGAAATCCGGGCCTGTGAAGAGTTTGCACTTAGACGCTAAGGGAAAATTCGGGTGCTCCAAAGCTGACTTAGACACTTTACAAACACGGGATTGGCTAGAAAACGCTAAGGGAAAAATCCACTCCTCTCGTGCAACCTAGGGAGAAAGGGGGGGGCGGGGGGGGGGGGGCACTCGGACGCTTAGGGAAATTTTGGTTGCTCCAAGCTGACTTTGACACTTTACAAACACGGGATTGGCTAGAAAACGCTAAGGGAAAAATCCACTCCTCTCGTGCAACCTTAGGAGAAAGGGGGTGGGGGGTCAGTCAGAATTGGGGCGGGGGGGGTCCTACAAGCGGAAACCAAAACTTTGAGACAGGGGAAGGTCTGGTTTGAGCCCTTAACGCATCCGGGGAGGGTCGAACGAGGCACTTAGTTGCACGGGTGCAGTGCGAATCTAACACTTTATGCAGTCGAGCTGGAGCGAAAGTAGCCCGGAATGTTCAGGGCATTAAGGGAATATGCCCTTGAATCGACAGGCCTGATTCCACAGGCTTTCTGGATAAAAAGGCCTTCAAAAAGCCGTTGTCCACCTCTTCCCACTTCCCACCCACTTTCACCCGCTCTCGCCAGCACCAAAGTTTCTGAGAGCAAGCGACGAATTGAGCCACCGTATCTGCCGGAAAGAGTTGCTCACAAGAGACGACATGACAGGTTAGCCACAAGTGGGGCGCCATGCAAACAATCAACAGGTTTCTTGGGCACCAAGGCAAAGGACCACCGCCATTCCATCCATCCCATCCCATTCCACTTGCCCATTCCACTCGCCCAACCCATCCCATCCCATCCCATCCCATCCCATCCCATCCCATCCCATCCCATCCCAATCTCATTCTAACCCATCCCAAACCTATTCCGTCCCATCCAAACCCATCCTCATCCGACCCCACAATCCCATGCTACAATGATGCCATCCCGTCCGCTCCGCTCATCACAACTATGAATGCTGCTGGTCTCGTCTAGTCTTGTCGCAGCTGCTCCGCTCCGCCCGTCATGGGTGCGCCCGGTCCACTACAGTTGCACCGCCAAACTTGATCAAGGACAGCAGCGTACGCCACCCGCTCCGATTCCACCACCTCCCTTTCTGCTTACTCCTCACCTCACTGTCAACTTCGCTTCACATCACACCCTCCAGCAGCTTGGATAAGACCCCTCCAATCTGCCTCCACTTCTCAGTTCCCTGCAGAGCTGGCCTGTTGTCCGAACTCACAAGCCAACGCTCTCAATCAGCTGTGTCCTCCTTACGTTCGTTCCGAACCCCGCACTCACAAACGGAGCACGGAATTCTAGACGCTTCAACGCACGCAACGAAGAAGCGACCATCGTCGCAGTACGCGAACTAAATTTTGTGCTGTTTTTCGAAGCCATAATTTCCGCAATGGCCGCCGCTTCGTGCGAAGACGACACCATTCTACTACTTCTACCAGACGGCGGAGTGCGCATGTTCTCCGCCGCGCGCGCCGGCGACCCGCCCCTCCTCGCCTCCGACGTTCTCGCGGAGTTCCCCAATTGCCGCGTCTGCCGCCTCGACTCCCCCTCCTCTTCCCCGGGACGCTCCCCCTGCCTTTCCCCGCACGCCGCGCTCCGAGCCGGCACGACGTACTTCCTCGTCGAACCAATAATGACTCACAAGGTTGACCCTGGGTATTGCGGCTTCGACCCCGTTACAATGGAACCCGTTAAAAGTATGAAGGGCTCTGGCGCAGAGCCTTTTTATCGGCCGAAGAGCGCCGGCGCCGGCGGCGAGGCGGGGCAGTTTCCGGACTTCATGGAGACAGCGGGCGGCTATTTCCCTTCGGGCGCACAACCCGGCCAGTATTATTCCCACTCCAGAAACACCAGCCTCAGCAGCTGCGGAACCAGCAACAGCGGCAACAGCAGTAACAGCAGCAGCGGCGTCTTCGGCATGTGCGGCAGCGACACGAGCTCCGGCTCTCGGCGGCTGACGCGCGGACTCACGTCTCCCGCCGCAATGCGCTCCGACCCTGCGGGTTCCGCCGCCGCGCACCACTCGCAGAGCTTCCGCGCGCAGCAAATGCCGTATGATGCGCCGGAGTTGCTCGACATTTCCGCCGTCGCCGCGCGAGCCGCCGCCGCATACGGCGGAAACGCCTCCCCCGTTTCGGGTATGGGTCAAACGGGCCCTTTTATGTGCCGCACCGCGTCCTGGTCCGCCGCTTCCGCTCCCGGATGGGCCGACGCGTACGGAGCCGCGCCTAGTTACGAAACCAGCGGGCACGATGCTTCCCCCTCGCGATCATCCCTAGATCTGGATTCGCCGCCGCAAATGCGTTCACGCCACGTGTCAGCAGAAGACGCGGCGCTTGACTTTATCAAGCAGCACAACGCGACAACGTCCTCCGCGAGTAGGCGGTACCAGCGCGCGCCGCTTCCCCCGCGGTGTTCCGCGCAGCAGCAATCCTCGCGGGAGCAGCAAACAGCGGCAGATGTGCTGGCCGCAGGTGCTTCTAGTCGTCTACGGGTGCAGCGGAGCAGCAGTACCCGCAATAAGATCGTTTCGCTTGAAGATATTGTTTACGGGCGGGTAACCTCGTGAAACACACACGTACATCCAGTTTTGTTCAACCTACATCCTACTACGGCAATAGTGTGGAGCATTTTCCCTCCACAGGAGGGTTTTTCCACCCAGCTTTCAATAAGCTGCCTCCTTTTAGGTTGGTGTAGATGTGTCGGTTGTGACCATATTGTGTATATGTTTTCCCAAGGATGTAGCACACCTATGGGAGTGCTGCTCACCTTGGTTATGAGTTGTGTTTTGTACTGAGCTGTTAACATTGGCAGCCAATGTTGCCCCTTCCTACCTACTATGTGGGTTGAAACGTGCACTGTACACACACTACATAATATTTTGAAGCTACAATAGTGTCAGTCAAAGTCTCTGTCAAACATAGCACACAGCTAACTTCAACCCAGCGTCTGAACAACCTCTAGCTGTGGTGGTGATGGCTCTACATTCTCAAACAGCAGCGATTCCTTCAGCTAACCATCATTCAGCCTCAACCCAGCATTTGAGCCACCCTCATTTCATCCGGGAGAGCGGGAATGGCGCCTCTAACAGTGGTGGTGATGGCTCCACACGCATTCGCCAACAGCAGCGCTTCCTTCAGCTTCGCCTCATCTGCTAGCAGCGAATCCAAGGCAGCAAAACCGCTGCTCCCACCGCTGCCTCCTCCGGCTAGCTTGCGGAGAAACCCAGCAACAAAGGCATCGCCAGCGCCAGTGGTGTCTATAGCAGCAACACTAAACCCGTCCACTCTCCCCTGATACTGCTCCGTGTAGTACCTGCATCCCTTCTCCCCCTCAGTTACCAGCAACAGCCGAAGCTTCCCCTCCCCTTTACCGTCGCCGCTGCTGCTGTTTTTGTGGCTGAGGTTGAACAGAGACCGTGCCACGTCATCGCTGTAAGGGTCGCCGCCATTGGTCAGAAACGCCACCTCCTCGTCGCTCACTTTGATGATGTGAGCGCGGTCCCAGATGCTCAAGATGCCATCCCACGCCGCCTCAGGGGACGGCCAGAGGGGCCGCCAGTAGCGGATGCAGGAACCCGTGTCGCGGCTAACCCGCCAGATGCGGCGATAGGTGCGGTGGAGGTGGCGGACTCCGGGCCGGACTGCGCTTGCGAAGCGGCAGGCGAAGCGGTGAAGGGACGGATGACGTCAGCGGAGAGGGAGAGCGCGACGAGCAGCACGGCTATGAGAAGCGGGAACTGCCGCTGCAAATCCATGGTGGTGGGAACATATTAAGTACACGGCTTGGGTGGTTTCTTGTGTAGGTTTTTTATTACACTAAAAATATTTCTACAATTTGTGTCATGTGCTCATGCCGGAGTGGTTAACGGGACAGACTAGAAATCTGTTGGGCTCTGCCCGCGCAGGTTCGAGTCCTGCTGAGCACGTTTTGTTTCTGGTTGTGTAGAGGGTTAATCTTGTTGAACCTTTCCCCACCAAAGCAGCATGGAAACTCTCTGACTGCACCTCAAAACAGCACACTAACCAAGGCCAATTATGTGATTAAGAATTTAGGAGTGAAGAGACATGCCATATTTTGTGGAAGTGTAAGGTGAGTTGAAAGCCAACAGTTGGGAAGTTATTTGACCGAAGGGTTTGTTCACCGACAGAACTTCACATGGAGCGCAGGCATGCTGGCATGCTGGCATGCTACGACAGGTGGGTGAGTGTGCTGACTAGTGCCACCACCGCCTCCACATCCGACTGGATCGATGGCTCCCTGCCTGCCACTGCCAGTGGAGAGAGTGGGCAGTGAGGGGGAAGAGTCAGAGTCAGGAGTAAAGACGCATTCGACAATCTTGCATGCTACGACAGGTGGGTGAGTGCGCTGACTAGTGCCACCACCGCCTCCACATCCGACTGGATCGATGGCTCCCTGCCTGCCACTGCCAGGATGAGAAAATGACCAGCAGGGAGAGAGTGAGGAGAAGGACGTGTTCAAGAGGCTTCACATCACTCTACAACCCTCCCCTCCTGCCACTACACTGTCTGCCCCTCACCTTGCACTATGAGCTGCACGGCAGCATCAAAGTCATCGAGCCGGAGAGCAGAGGGAAGCACGGTGGGACCCACTAGCCGCACCAACACCACCTCCACTGCTAGTGCCCTCACCAGCACCCCCAGAAGTGAGAGCTGAGTCGCCTACTCAACCCCCGACTCCTGCCACTCCCGCGCCCCTCCACTCACCTTGCACTATGAGCTGCACGGCAGCGTCGAAATCATCGAGCCTGAGAGCAGAGGGCAGCATGGTGGGACCCACTAGGCGCACCAACGCCACCTCCACTGCTAGCGCCCTCACCAGCACCCCCAGAAGCAGACGACACACCGCCAGCTGGGCGGGCGGCAGCGAGGAGGACGAGAGAGAGGATGAGGAGGGGGAGGAGGAGGAGGAGGGGAATGAGGGGGAGGAGCGGGCGGGTGGGGAGGAGGAGAGGCTGGGGTTTCCAAAGAGGGTGGTGGGGCGGAGAGGAGAGGAGGGGTTGAAGGTGGGTGGGTTGGTGGGGGGTTGGCTTGGGGTGGTGGATGAGGAGGGGTGGTGGTTGGTTTGGTCTACAGATGCGAGAATGTCTAGAATGATTGCCACTGCTTGGTCCTGATGGACAGATGTGGGTAGGAAGGAGTGGGGGAGAGAGAGAGAGGGGAGGATACGGGGAAGCGAGACAGGTGAGAAAGGGGTAGAAGCAGAATAGAGGACCTGAGTAACGTTACCACTTTCTGCTTGGCGCTGGAGGTAGAAGCACCAAGCTCACCTCCAGACTGTGTAGCACCTCTGGATTGAAGAAGGGTTTTGAGACGTCTCAAAACCCTTCTTCAATCACTTGGCGCTGGAGGTAGAAGCACCAAGCTCACCTCCAGACTGTACTGTGTAGCACCTCTGGTGCTGGCCTGGCAGCACAAGTGCAGCTTGCCTTGAACGCTAAGCCACGACCCCAAAACGCTCAAGGGCAAATCACAGCACCACACACACACACCCTGACAGCTGCAAGCTCACCTCTAAACCGTGTAGCACCTCTGGTGCCGGCAGCACGGGCGCACCAACCCCCATCACCACGACTGCAGATGCCGCCCCTCCCATTACCCCCGCCATCACCCCTCCCCCTCCTCCCCCAAACCCTCCCATCGACCCCCCCTCGCCTACCTCCCCTCCCCCCATCCCCCTCCCTGCCCAATGCTGCATTCCTGCCACGTCAGCACACCCCCCCGCCATGTCAGCGGTCGAGGGGAAATATCTGCAGAGGAGGGAAGTGAGGAAGTGTAGGGAGTGGAGAGCGAGAGAGTACACCTCGATTGCTACAGTATCCGTGTACTCTGAATGCAGACGACGAACGCCGGCCACTCCTCCTCCTTTCCCGTCTCCTACCCCCAGTCCGGACTTCCCACCCGCTTCCGAACCTCCAGGCTTGGTTTGACCCGCCGAACCTGCTCCAAACCCAGCCTGTCCCTGCTGCCGCTTCGCACCCCAGAGGCCCAAACCTCCCGCCGTGCCTGTGCCTGTACCAGGTGTGCTTATAAGGGGGGACTGGGGTGTAGCTGGGGAAGTAGAGGCTACTTTAAGCGTCCCAGATTTGATTCCCTCGGGTTGACCCGTAGGGCTGACCCCTTTGCCTGTAAGAGTAGGGGAAGGAGGGAAGAGGGCAGCAGCAGGGGTGGTGCTGGCTGTAGCGGCTGTAGCGGGTGTGCTTGCTGCTCCTCCTCCTCCTCCTGCTGTTGCTGGTGTTGCCAAAGCGAGAGATTGAGCACCTGTGGTTCCAGTGGCTGTGGTTCCAGTTCCAGTTACTGCAGGTGATGCAGAAGAAGTACCAGCAGCAGCACTACCAGCAGCAGCAGTACCACCACTGCCAGTACCAGTACCAGCAGCAGCGGCGGCGGCTGAAGCAGCATTAGAGTTCTCACGACGAGCAGCAGCAGCAGCAGCGGTGGCTCTAGCTGTAACAGCAAACCAGCCTTTATGACACCCCACAGTAGCAGGCCGTGCATGTGCTGCTGCCTCCTCCCTCCCACCCATGTGACACACTATGCTGCTCGCCCCCCCCACAGGCCTTGCCAACCCCTCCCGAGCAACGAAAGCCAGGAGGAGAGAGCATGAGGCGGAGAGTTCGGACGAGAGGTTGGGGGAGAGGGGAGGGGAGTGGAGAGGGGAGGTGGTGGAGGGGAGGGTGGGGAAGAGTTGGTGGGAGGTTTGGCAGAGGAGGGAGAGAACGCGATTGGTGGATCGGAGGGCTGATAAGCTTGTGATTAGCTGATGGCGTTTTTTGGTTTGGTGCCCTCGTGACTGTGTTGACTGTGTCTGTAACGAGGGGTGGGGGAAGAGGAGAGAGGAGGCATAGGAGGAGGAGGAGGAGGGGGTGGGGGTTGAGAGGGAGAGGAGAGAGCGGGAGGGGTGGAGAGGAGAGGAGAGGGCGGCTAAGAGGGAGGGGAGTTGGAAAGAGAGGAAGTCAAGGGCGAGTCTGGCTGCAGTGGAAGAGAGAGAGGAGGAGGCAGGAGAAGGGGAGAGTGAGAAAGGAAGAGCAGAGGAGGGGGAGGGGGTGAGAGTGAGAGAATCGGAAAGAGAAGGCGGGCAGAGGAGGACGCGGAAGATACAGGTGGTGACAGTGAGAGCTAGCGACCAGAGCTCCCAAGCCTCTCGCACTGACGCACTCTCCTCTTCATGATCCATGTCATATCTAGTATCATATCTGATATTATCTTCGGGATTATATCTGTTATCCTGATTATTGTTGCTTTGACCCATGGCATCCCCACTCACACCCACCCGTCCCCATACCCCTGCTCCTCCTGCTCCCCTCCCAGCTATCCCCCCTGCCGCCGCTGCTGCTGCTGCCGCCGCCGCCGCTGCTGCCGCTGCTGCTGCCGCTGCTGCTGCAGTGAAATCCGAACCCCCCCTATCAGCATACATCCCGCCAAAGGCGGCGGAAGCTTCTTGGAAAGGGCCGACGCTGAGGTGCGCGTGAGGTGGCAGGCCGTCAGTGATGGTGCTGACGTGGCGCAGGAATCCAACGGCCAGGAGGAGATCTGCGCCCTCGCGTGTGGACGAAAGGGTGAGGCAGAGACTTAGAACCGCCCGCGCAGAAGCAGAGCGAGAGAAACGAGAAGCGCGGGACGAATGGGAGAAATACGGTGACGTTTTTTCCCATGTGGCGTTTCCGCTTGTTGCTGCTGCTGCTGCTGCTTCTGCCTCTGCTTGTGAGTGTGGTGGGTGGTACTGGAGTGTGGAGGAGAGGAGGGAGGGGAGGGAGAGATGGGCGGATACCATTGGGCGCCATGTGAGGGGGGAGAGGAAGCACCTTAGCGCCATTTCCACAACTGCTAGAGCCTGCATCGGAAGGTTCCTGGAAGCGTCTGCCGCGCCGATGGATCCCTGCCCGTCTTCTTGGATGTTCGAGGAAGCTGCCTCGAGGAGCACCGGAAGGTTCTCGGAAAGTACCACAGTGACGTCAGCTGTTTTGTCTTGTAGCAGGGAGACGGTGGCGGGTGTGGCGGATGAACCTCGTAACTCGCTCCTCCTCTGCTCTGACATCAGCATGACGTGGATCAGCTGCAGGACCGATAGGAGGCTGCCAAGTGTAGACACCGCGGGCCACGGCCCCACGAGTTCTGCCAGCTCAGCATCCATCAGCTTCCGGGAAGCTTCCATGAGCTTTCTCACGAGGGTCGAGGCATAAGAGGCAGAGGATTCTAAGAAGCCCTGTTGACTTGCCAGGCTCTGTTGACTTTCTTGACCAGGAAGCTTCCCTTGAATTTCCTGCTTCTGGTGGTGGGTCCAGCGGATGATCAAGAGGTGGAGGAGGCGAGAGGAGGAGAAGAGATAAGCGGCTGGGGAGGGGAGAGGAGGGGAGGAGGGCGAGGAGGGGGGGAGTGGGAGAACAGAGCAGCATGCAACGAGGAGCGAGGAGGAGAGACCGGTGAGGGTGTTCTCAAGAAACGAGTGCTCAACTGCAGCCGACCCATCTGCACCGCACTGCAATGCCCAAGGATCCTCCGCACCCACCATACTCCCCTGAAACCCATCTGCACCGCTCAGTCCTCCCCCGCTGCTGACAGCCAGCACGTCCCCAGCAGCCCGTGCTGCTCCCAGCAGCCCCCTCGCCTGCCACAGGAACCCATCTGCTACCAAACACGCCTCTGCTGCTGCTGCCACCAGGGCAAGAGTCGGTTTCTTACTGGCAGAACCACCACCACCACCAGCACCACCACCACCGCTGCTGCTGCTGCTGCCGCTGCCCCAGGAGCGGAGTCCAGCAGAGGCAGTGAGGCTGCGTGGGAAGAAGGCAGTAGTCATGCTGCCTGCAATGCTCTCTAACTGCTCTACCCTCGCTACTGCTGCTCCCTGCCCCTGCCCCGCTTCCCCTCCCGCTTCCCCACCTGTCGCTGCTCCTCCTGCTGCTGCCCCTCCTCCTGACTCCAAACCCCCTCCCAGCAAGCCCCCCACTTCTCCCTCTGCTCCTGCTGCCCCTGCCAGAGCCCGCAGAAGCTTCCCCGCAGCTTCCACCGAGTCCAGGCAACGTTCGGCGATGGAGAGAGAGGAGGAGGGTGTGAGGGAGGAGGTGGAGGTGGCGAGAAGGGAAGTGGAGGAGAGGAGGGAGGAGAGGGAGGAGAGTGAGGAGAGGGAGGTGGGGAGTTGAGAGGAGAGTGAGGAGCAGAGGGCGGAGAGGAGAACGGGTTTCCAGTCAGAGGGGTGGGGATGGTGGTGGTGAGGGGAGAAGTGATTTGAAGAGAGTTGATTTGGGTGAGAGGTGAGTTGATGGTGCAGCTGCTGCAAGAGCGGGTGTGAAAAGAACTGCACACATGGAAAGGGGGGGTGATTGAACCAGACGGGGTGGGGGTAGAGTGAGAGGTGAGCTGCTGGTGTAGTTTCTGCAACTGCGTGCACGAGTGTGGAAGGAATGAGAGGGGGAGTCGAGCCAATTTGGAACAGGAGCAATGGGAGAGTGAGAGTGGGAGGGGGGAACGGGAATCGTATACAGAATAAAGAGGAAGAGACATGGGATGGTGAGTAGGCATGGTAAGGTAAGCATGGCAAGAAGGAAGGTACCTGGAAGGAGACGGATTGAATCTGCTCCAGCAGTCGCAGGCTCATCCCCTCCACGTCACCAACGGCCACCCGCCACATCAGCACAGCTGCCAGCAGCTTGCATGCCAGCTGGCAGGATGGAAGGAGGGGATGCAGGGAGGGGGAACAGAGAGATGGGCTGAGCTGAGTGAGACTAACCACAGCGACGAGTGTGTGGGCGCGAAGACAACACTGAGAGAATGCGTGGAAAAAAAAAAAAAAAAAAAAAAAAAAAAAACTCCAAAACTAAAAAACTTGCAGTGTTTTAGAAAAGAACTTTTATATTTCCCGCTACACCCTGCTACAGGGTTGCTCACCTGTCCGCCACTCCAAGCCTGCCACATGTCGCCCCAAAGCCTCCCCCCTCCCTCCACCACCCCCACCAGTTCCCGCACCAACCCCAACCCCTCTCTTCCCTTCCTCCCTCCTCCCCTCGCCTCTAACAGCAGCATCCGCGCCCCTGTTGCTGCTGCTGCTGCTGCTGCTCCTCCGGATGGGTATTTTCCAGGAAGCTTCTTCTCCAGGAACAGGTCGAGGGAGACGAGTTGCAGGGCGGCGGCGTGGCAGCGCCAGCGCCAGCCAGCTCGGGCCAGCTCAGCAGGGGTGTACTCCACGTCAGCAGTCGGCGAGTGGGTGCCGAGGGAAGGGGAGAGTGAGGAGAGCGAGGGAGGGGAGGGGAGTGCAGAGGAGGATGGGGAGGGAGAGGAGGGGGATGAGTGGAGGATGGAGGAGAGGGAGGACCAGAGGGAGGGGGTGGAGCGGAGGTGGAGGAGGAGAGGGAGGAGGGGAGGGGAGGAGGAGCGCCAGATGGAGCAGAGGAGGCGCAGGAGCAGACAGAGCTGCATGGGATGGCTGGAACAAGGGGGGATCAGAGGAGAAAACAAGGGTTTGGGAGAAGGAGGTGGACGAAGGGAAGTTCATTTTCGAGTCATCTCACGAGTTACAGGAATGCAGGAGGAGATGACTGACGACCTCCATCTCCTAGCAGAGGTAGGTACGAAAAGGGAAAGTCCAATTTTTAGGCGACTCAGAAGAAGGAAATCGGTATTGGTGAGGAATTCGGATGGGGAGAGGAGTGGACGAGAGAGACAGAACAGGAATGCAAGGGGGTGCGGGTGTGGTGGCGTGGGGGTTGGAGTGGGGTCGGGGGGGGGAAGGGTGTAAGAAGGGTAGGGAGGAATCTACAAGCATATGGGAGAAAAGAAGGAAGATGGTAAGGGAGGGTAAGAGTCAAGACTCACACGGCCATAATGGAAGGTCCTGCAGACAGCAGAGCGTTGTTTTTGCCTATTTTGAGACGCCTCAATAGGGGGGATGTATCGAGGTGCATCAATAGTTGAGGCGCCTCAAATGGGGGGGGTAAGAGTGAAGACTCACGCGGCCATGAGGGAAGGGCCTGCAGACAGCAGAGCGAGGATTCTGTCCATGTTGGCCACAGCCCGAGGTGTCAGGCTCTTTTCTTTCTTTATGTTGCTCGATCCACTAGCTGCTGCTGCTGCTGCTGCTGCTGCTGCTGCTGCTGGTTTGTCAGTGCTGCTGTTGCTATTCGTGGTGGTGGTGGTGGCACTGGTGCAGGAAGAGTGGCGGCTGGGGTGCTCGGCCAGAAGGAGCTGGTGGAGAAACTCAGGCTGCAGAGGGAGGTGTGTGGGAAAGAGTAGGATAGGTCAAGAAAGGCTGAGAGAGGTAGTAGTGGGGGAAACATGTGCTATTTGGGTGAAGTGCGGAGGGGGGCTCAGACAGAAGGAGCTGGTGGAGAAACTCAGGCTGCAGAGGGAGGTGTGTGGGGACAACGGAGAGTGGTTGAGAGAGTTTGAGAAAGGTAAGAGTTGGTGAAAGCAGGTGCTAGACGGTGAGGTTGGGGAGGGTCAGCTCGGTTCGTGATGGGCAGGGAGAGGCGCTCTTACTTGTGAGTGTGCTGCGTGAGTGAGCAGTTGAAGCAGAGGAACGAAGAGGACGGATGAGGAAGAGTGTGGGGGTGTGGGTGAGGAGGAGGATGAAGGCGCTGATTTTGACAGTGCTGATGCAGCGATGCGGGCTGATTCAACGGCCAGGATGCGATCCACAGCAACCTGAAGGCTGTGGAGCTGCGTGGGGAGGTAAGGCGGCCCCGGGAGAGGGAAGGCGGGGAGGAGACGGCAGGGGAGGAGGGCGTGTGGGTGTGTGGGAGTTTGGGGAATGTGGGAGCAGGTGTTTGGTGAAAGCAGGGCCAGCTGGAATAAACTGGAGAGGAGAGGAAATGCGGAAGAGACAAGCGGAGGAGAGGGAACGACGCGTAGCTCACACAGGAAGTAAAAGACAGCCAATCAGATCTTGAAGTGCAAACTGACAGATTTGGGTTTCAAGACGTCTCAAAGCCCAAATTTTATCATGCAGCGGGTTTATTACCATCCAGCCGAATCAAAGGCACTGGGAGCCGAATTCTAGGAGCTTACAATGGGTTTGGTGGCAGGCTGGGAGAAGAAGGAGGAGAGGACGAGGAGGTGCGGTCTGATGCGAGTCGTGATGGTGCAGAGCGTGTGCATTAAGGTGAGTGAGGCACGGCGCAGAGCCTGCAAGGGGAGGGGCGGAGAGTGGTGAGTGAGGAGGCAGAGCACACAGCGTGGAAAGGAGGTGTGGCCTGATGCGAGCTGTGATGGTGCAGAGCGTGTGTAGAAAGGTGAGCGAGGCACGCCGCAGAGCCTGTAATGGGAGGCGATAGGGGGGGAAGTGGGGGAAAATGGGAGCAAGTAATGTCTGACATGCGAGCAGTGATGGTGCAGAGCGTGTGCAGGAAGGTGAGGGAGGCACGGCGCAGAGGCTGCAAGGGGAGGAGTGGAGGGAGAAGATGGGTGAAAGAAACCGCTCACCAGTGCCACTGAGCGTTTTTGCTCGTGACACAAGCACTACCAACACTCGCTTGCAGATGAAAATGCAAAGAAAGTGCAAAATCCTGCAAACCTGCAAGATTTGCACACCTGTGACTGGCCGAGGCTTGTCAGTGCAGCAAGCGCCGTCACCAGGGGAACTGAATCAAGTCCCATGGTTGCCCCTGCTCCCTCTCCTCCTCCTCCTGCTGCTCTTGCGAAAGCAGCGTCTGCTGCAGCTCCTGCAGAGTCTAGCGCTGGTGCTGACGGGGTGAGCAGCATGAGATGCGAGGGGAGGCGAGCAGAGGAGGAGAGTAGAAGCGACTCCATGGGGGACAGGGGCTGCAGGGGGAGGGAGCGGGGGGAAGTGAGGGGAAATAAAGAGAGGAGGGGTGAGAAGAGAAGGGGGAGAGAGATGGTTGAGATGAGAGGGGAGAAGTGCGGAGGAGGAGAGGAGAAGCGACTCCAAGTTGGAGAGGGGCAAGGCGTGAGAGAGAGGGAAGAAACAGAGAGAAGAGAAAGGCAGAGAGGATGAGGGGGGCTGGCTCACTCACCGCATCAGCAGCAGCAGGGCAGTAGGGCTTGAGGCGAATGCAGAGGGTGAGCAGCTCCAGACCCCGGTGTAGCGCTGCCGACTGCTCTGACGATTCAGAACCCGACACAGCCTCTTCAGCACAGGAGCGGCTCTCCTCAGAGGCCCCCTGAGAGCCCCTTCCTGGCAGCACGAGCAGAGCTGATTGCAGTGGCGCCAGCAGGGCGGCGGATATGCGTGCATCGGTGAGCAGCAGGTGGAGCAGCTTGGACGCAAGGGCAGAGGCTGAGGAGGACGAGGAGGGAGGCGATGGTGAGACTGGTGAGGCGGAGGAGGAGTAGGGGTTGAATGTCTCACTGCTCATCCCCCCACTGAAGCTGCTGCTGCTGCTGCTGCCACCACTGATGCCACCATTGCTGCTGCTGCTGCTGTTGCTCCACATTCCCGCTCCAACTCTGCTTCTCTTATATGCTCCTGCCTCCTCCTGCCACCCCTTCCTCCGCATGTACTCCCCTCTCTCCTCCGTAACTTCCCTCTCCTCCTGCTGCTCCTCCTCCTCCTCCTCCCCCCAGTCATCCCCCCCTCCCTGGCCGCTCCCCCCCTCCAGGAGGGAGTGTGTGGAGCGGAGGAGGGAGGAGGCAGCCCAGGGGGCGAGAGAGAGAGTGAGGGAGAGGAGGCGAGACAGCTGGGAGGGAGGTGGGATGGGGGATTGTCAGGGGAGGGGCAAGAAGAAATGGGTACGGCTGGAAATGTAAAGGAGAGACGAGGCGGCCCAGGGGGTGACAGAGAGAGTGAGGGAGAGGAGGCGAGAAAGCTGGGGGAGTACGAGGAGGAGGTGTCGGAGAGAAGGAGGGGGGTTGGGAGACGGGGAGGTGGGAGGTGATAAAGGAATAAAGTTGTTGCCCCTCTTCTTTCACTTCACCTTTTGATTGCATCCTCTTGTCACCTCTCACCCTGCGGTCTGCCACATCTCCGCTCTCCTCTCTTGTCGGAACCCAAACCTCCGAACCCACAGGCCTCCCCACCAGTTCTCGCCCCTCCTTGCTTGCCTAATCCATCCCTTTTCCGCCGCATGCAGCGTGCAACCAGTCCTCTCGAGGTGAGACGGGGACTTTCTGCTCGAATATTCTACACTCGCATGGGGACTTTCTGCTCGATTATTCTGCACTCGCATGGGGACTTTCTGCTCGAATATTCTACACACGCATGGGGACTTTCTGCTCGAATATTCTGCACTCGCATGGGGACTTTCTGCTCGTATATTCTGCACTCGCATGGGGACTTTCTGCTCGAATCTTCTGCACTCGCATGGGGACTTTCTGCCGGGATACCGGGATACCGGGATACCGGGAAACCGGGATACCGGGATACCGGGATACCGGGAAACCGGGATACCGGGATACCGGGATACCGGGATACCGGGATACCGGGATACCGGGATACCGGGATACCGGGATACCGGGATACCGGGATACCGGGAAACCGGGAAACCGGGAAACCGGGAAACCGGGATACCGGGATACAGGGATACAGGGATACCGGGATACCGGGATACCGGGATACCGGGATACCGGGAAACCGGGAAACCGGGAAACCGGGATACCGGGATACCGGGAAACCGGGAAACCGGGAAACCGGGAAACCGGGATAGCGGGATAGCGGGAAACCGGGAAACCGGGAAACCGGGAAACCGGGAAACCGGGAAACCGGGATACCGGGATACCGGGATACCGGGAAACCGGGAAACCGGGATACCGGGATACCGGGAGACCGGGAGACCGGGAGACCGGGATACCGGGAAACCGGGAAACCGGGATACCGGGAAACCGGGAAACCGGGAAACCGGGAAACCGGGAAACCGGGATACCGGGAAATCGGGATACCGGGATACCGGGAAACCGGGAAACCGGGATACCGGGATACCGGGAAACCGGGATACCGGGATACCGGGATACAGGGAAACCGGGATACCAGGATACCAGGATACCCGGAAACCGGGATACCGGGAAACCGGGAAACCGGGAAACCGGGAAACCGGGAAACCGGGAAACCGGGATACCGGGATACGGGGATACCGGGATACCGGGATACCGGGATACCGGGATACCGGGATACCGGGATACCGGGATACCGGGATACCGGGAAACCGGGAAACCGGGATACCGGGACACCGGGACACCGGGATACCGGGACACCGGGAGACCGGGATACCGGGATACCGGGAAACCGGGAAACCGGGAAACCGGGAAACCGGGAAACCGGGAAACCGGGAAACCGGGAAACCGGGAAACCGGGATACCGGGAAATCGGGATACCGGGATACCGGGAAACCGGGAAACCGGGATACCGGGATACCGGGAAACCGGGATACCGGGATACCGGGATACCCGGAAACCGGGAAACCGGGAAGCCGGGAAACCGGGGAACCGGGGAACCGAGGAACCGGGGAACCGGGGAACCGGGGAACCGGGGAACCGGGATACCGGGGAACCGGGAAACCGGGATACCGGGATACCGGGATACCGGGAAATCGGGATACCGGGATACCGGGATACCGGAAACCGGGAAACCGGGATACCGGGAAACCGGGATACCGGGAAACCGGGAAACCGGGAAACCGGGAAACCGGGATACCGGGATACGGGGAAACCGGGAAACCGGGACACCGGGAGACCGGGAAACCGGGATACCGGGATACCCGGAAACCGGAAAACCGGGATACCGGGATACCGGGAAACCGGGAAACCGGGATACCGGGAAACCGGGATACCGGGATACCGGGATACCGGGATACCGGGATACCGGGAAACCGGGAAACCGGGATACCGAGATACCGGGATACCGGGAAACCGGGATACCGGGATACCGGGAAACCGGGAAACCGGGATACCGGGAAACCGGGAAACCGGGAAACCGGGATACCGGGATACCGGGAGACCGGGAAACCGGGAACCGGGATACCGGGAAACCGGGAAACCGGGAAACCGGGATACCGGGAGACCGGGAAACCGGGATACCGGGAAACCGGGAAACCGGGATACCCGGAAACCGGAAAACCGGGATACCGGGATACCGGGAAACCGGGAAACCGGGATACCGGGAAACCGGGATACCGGGATACCGGGATACCGGGATACCGGGAAACCGGGAAACCGGGATACCGAGATACCGGGATACCGGGAAATCGGGATACGGGATACGGGATACCGGGATACCGGGAAACCGGGAAACCGGGATACCGGGATACCGGGATACCGGGAAACCGGGATACCGGGATACCCGGAAACCGGGAAACCGGGAAGCCGGGAAACCGGGGAACCGGGGAACCGGGGAACCGGGGAACCGGGGAACCGGGGAACCGGGGAACCGGGGAACCGGGGAACCGGGGAACCGGGGAACCGGGAACCGGGGAACCGGGATACCGGGATACCGGGATACCGGGAAATCGGGATACCGGGATACCGGGATACCGGAAACCGGGATACCGGGAGACCGGGAGACCGGGATACCGGGAAACCGGGAAACCGGGAAACCGGGAAACCGGGATACCGGGATACCGGGATACCGGGATACGGGGATACCGGGAAACCGGGAAACCGGGATACCAGGATACCCGGAAACCGGAAAACCGGGATACCGGGATACCGGGATACCGGGATACCGGGAAACCGGGAAACCGGGATACCGGGAAACCGGGATACCGGGATACCGGGATACCGGGATACCGGGATACCGGGATACCGGGATACCGGGAAACCGGGAAACCGGGAAACCGGGATACCGGGATACCGGGATACCGGGATACCGGGAAACCGGGATACCGGGATACCGGGAAACCGGGAAACCGGGATACCGGGATACCGGGAAACCGGGAAACCGGGATACCGGGATACCGGGACACCGGGAGACCGGGATACCGCGAAACCGGGAAACCGGGATACCGGGAAACCGGGAAACCGGGAAACCGGGAAACCGGGAAACCGGGAAACCGGGATACCGGGAAATCGGGATACCGGGATACCGGGAAACCGGGAAACCGGGATACCGGGATACCGGGAAACCGGGATACCGGGATACCGGGATACAGGGAAACCGGGATACCAGGATACCAGGATACCCGGAAACCGAGATACCGGGAAACCGGGAAACCGGGAAACCGGGAAACCGGGAAACCGGGAAACCGGGATACCGGGATACCGGGATACGGGGATACCGGGAAACCGGGAAACCGGGAAACCGGGAAACCGGGATACCGGGATACCGGGATACCGGGATACCGGGAAATCGGGAAACCGGGAAACCGGGATACCGGGAAACCGGGATACCGGGATACCGGGATACAGGGAAACCGGGATACCAGGATACCAGGATACCCGGAAACCGGGATACCGGGAAACCGGGAAACCGGGAAACCGGGAAACCGGGAAACCGGGAAACCGGGATACCGGGATACCGGGATACGGGGATACCGGGAAACCGGGAAACCGGGAAACCGGGAAACCGGGATACCGGGATACCGGGATACCGGGAAATCGGGAAACCGGGAAACCGGGATACCGGGATACCGGGATATCGGGAAACAGGGAAACCGGGATACCAGGATACCAGGATACCCGGAAACCGGGATACCGGGAAACCGGGAAACCGGGAAACCGGGAAACCGGGAAACCGGGAAACCGGGAAACCGGGATACCGGGATACCGGGATACGGGGATACCGGGATACCGGGATACCGGGATACCGGGATACCGGGATACCGGGATACCGGGAAATCGGGATACCGGGATACCGGGATACCGGAAACCGGGAT